TTTTAATTGGAAACACAGCTTGTAATATTTGGTTTTAATTCGGCTTTTATCGGGGTTTATTTTCTGTATTTTTGTATTTTGTAATTTTTTGTATTTTGTGTTTATTATTTGTTTTTAATATGCTGTGAACCGCCCTGAGTCCTATGGGAGAAGGGCGGTATACAAATTAAAATAATAAATAAAATAAATAAATAAATAACACCGTTGCTGCGCGAGCTGCACTGGTTGCCGGGGGCCTTCCGGGTGCGCTTCAAGGTGCTGGTCATCACCTTCAAAGCGCTCCATGGCATCGGACCTGGATATCTCCGAGACCGCCTTCTGCCGCAGATTACCTCCCATCGGCCGGTACGCTCCCACAGAGTGGGTCTCCTCAGGGTGCCGTCAGCCAGACAGTGCCGGCTGGCGACCCCCAGGGGAAGGGCCTTCTCGGTGGGAGCTCCCACCCTTTGGAACGAACTACCCCAGAGATCCGGGTGATCCCGGATCTCCCTTCCTTCCGCCGCGCCCTCAAGACATGGCTCTTCCAACAAGCAGGACTGGCCTAAGGGGAAATTTTTAGTGGGGTTTTAAAAGCAATTTTAATAATTATAAGGCCAAATTTAATATTTTATTTTAACTTTGTTTTAATAATAGTTTCTGGGGTATTTTTGTAGTTGTTTTTATCAGGCTGTCAGCCGCCCTGAGTCCGCAAGGAGAAGGGCGGGGTATAAATTCAATAAATAAATAAATAAATAAATAAATCTGGAGCCTGCTTATTTTTTTGTAAAATAATACTACCTCCTTCAAGATTCCAAAATTTTACACCATGCAAAATTTTACACCCAGATCCCTCTTTCTCTATGATGTTTGAATATTTTTTACACAGTTGACTGACATAAGCCTGTAAGAAATACTAATGATACAATTCACTTTGTTTTACAAACCTGGAATTTTATGCCAAATTTTTTTAACAGACCCACTGTTTCCTCCAGTTCTTTCATGCCAAGTTTCACCAATGAGGCAACTCCTGTCTTTTGCTTCACCATAGTATTCAACAACGGGGATATATCTTGCAGCTCTCCTTTTTGCTCGATAAATCTGTAGAGTCGAACAAGCTGAAGAGACACATGAATATGAACCGCTGCATGCTGGAGTTCTGAACTAAAGGTGCAAAGGCCACTTTTATTTTTGTATTAATTGCTTTGGCCTCATTTAAAAAAAACAAACTGTGAAACATACAGCTAGTCCTCAACTTATAACAATTCATTTAGTGACCATTCAAAGTTACAATGGCACTGAAAAAAGTGACTTGTGACCATTTTTTACACTTATGACTTAACAAGCATGTCATTAACTTTACAACTCCAGTGATTCACTTAACAAATGTAGCAAGAATGGTCATAAAATAGGGCACAATTCACT